ATTTATTTAATGAAAATATATATGCAAAGAACCAAATTCACCAAATTTCTTAACCTCTTAACCTTGATGGATAAGGATAAGTTGGTCCAGTAAAATAAAATACCAGATTTTAGCAAAAATAAAACTATAACAACAACAACAACAATTTGATTTCATCTGATTGCTGCCTAGGCTATAAAAGAGAGTAAAAAATAGAGTGAGATGTGTGTGTGTGTGTGTGTGTGATAGAAATAAGCAAACAAATACTTCTAAATTAACCAGCCTCCTAATTTCATACTCTTTAGAAGACCCGATTCACAGGTTCCCATGTGGCCACTGAGTTGTTCATTGTCCATTGCCCATCAGGTGTCAGGCGGGAGAGTGAGGCTTGGGTTCAGAGCACTCACCCCTTCAGAACAAGGGGGCACACCGGTACGGTGTCCCAGTTGTCTGTTAGCAACATCTATCATCCTGACCCCTGATCTAGGACAGGGGTTGGCAAGGTTTACCTCACCCGGGCCGGTCACTCCGGGGGTGATCCCTCTGTGGGCCAGATCGCCCCCCCCCCCGATTTCCTGCATCTCTAGATGCAATTTCTGGTGTCTGCACAGATACGATTTCCGGTGCCACAGAAGCGAGTCCCCATTCCGTGCTGCACCGCTTTAGCGCAGCACGCGGGGACTTGCTGAGCAGGTGACTCAGTTAGGGGCGGCTTGGGGGCTGGTTAAACCACCCTCGTGGGCCGCTTGTGGCCCATGGGCCTTGGGTTACCGACCCCTGATCATTCCAACTGCATACTGAAATAATAATAATAATAATAATAATAATAATAATAATAATAATAATAATAAGGGCTGCCTTCAGATGACTTCTAAAAATCAGATAGATGTTTATTTCCTTGACATCTGGTGGAAGGGCGTTCCACAGGGCAGGTGCCACTACCGAGAAGGCCCTCTGCCTGGTTCCCTGTAACTTGGCTTCTCGCAGCGAGGGAACCGCCAGAAGGCCCTTGGCGCTGGATCTCAGTGTCCAGGTAGAATGATGGGGGTGGAGACGCTCCTTCAGGTATACTGGGCCGAGGCCATTGAGGGCTTTAAAGGTCAACACCAACACTTTGAATTATGCTCGGAAACGTACTGGGAGCCAGTGTAGTTCTTTCAAGACCGATATGGTTGATCCAAGGTGGGCTGTTTTTGTTTAGCCACCCACAGAAACTGCTTGCATCCCAGTGTGGAGGGCCATCTGCATCCAATCTGTTGCCTTAGCTGCATGTGATACAGAGCCTTTGTAGGCCCTTTCTAGAAGTTTCGAAAGGGAAGTACAGCAAAACGCACCATTAACTTCTTATTAATTTCACAAGGCGCACATGCACACCCGAAAAGACAATTTCCTTAAAATAGTGGTGCTGCAACTTTAAATTACAGAACTGGCTCAGTGTTTAATGAGAGATTTAGCACAGCAGGGTTTCTGTTAAATTAAGTTGTGCCTTCACATCACAGTGGGGAAACAGGTGTATATTGGTTTAGAATTATGGAAATGTTGACTAATTCCAAGGCTTGTAATCAAACAGCTAGGCACCCAAGCAATATTTTCTTCCAAGAGGTGGCATTAATCATGCATGCCTAGCAATGTTGTCTTCATGTCCACCAAAAAAAAAAAAAAAGGCACTGAAACTCAAAAGGAACAAACAAGATGCCAATGCGTTTGTGTTGAGGAGCGGGGCGGGCAGTTTTTCTGCTAGAGGCGCACACAAAATCAAAGCTGCAGATGCCCACATCCTTTGAAACGGAGAATGCGGCAGGGAGAATAATACGACAAAACTAACTGGGCCAGCAAGGCCTTACTGGATTTTAACTCTCAGTCAGCCCTGAACTGGGAGGTTTTTTTCCACGAACACACACAAGTTCAGCATATTCCACTAACAGTATTATTTTCCAGGGACAGTCCCAGATTTACAGAAACCGTCCTGGTTTCTTATTTGATCCCAGAACGTCCCACTTTTCCTTAGAACATCCCTATTTTCATTTTTAAAAATGTTGGAAGGTATGGTAAAGGTAAAGGGACCCCTGACCGTTAAGTCCAGCCGTGAATGACTCTGGGGTTGCGACGCTCATCTCGCTTTACTGTCCACAGACAGCTTCCAGGTCATGTGGCCAGCATGACTAAGCCGCTTCTGGCGAACCAGAGCAGTGCATGGAAATGCCGTTTACCTTCCTGCCAGAGCGGTACCTATTTATCTACTTGCACTCTGACGTGCTTTCAAACTGCTAGGTTGGCAGGAGCAGGGACCGAGCAACAGGAGCTCACCCCGTCGCAGGGATTCGAACCTCCAACCTTCTGATCGGCAAGCCCAGGATGCCCCTATTTTCGTCAGAGGGTATGGAGTTATGTGACTCCCCAAGCCAAGGAGATCAGTAACTATACAACCTTTAGAAGACGTCTGAAGGCAGCCCTATATAGGGAAGTTTGTTTAATGTTTGTTTTATTACCTTTTTTATATACCATATTTTTTGCTCTATAAGACGCATCAGAGCACAAGACGCACCTAGTTTTTGGAGGAGGAAAACAAGAAAAAAAAAATCTGAATCTCAGAAGCCAGAACAGCAAGAGGGATCTCTGCGCAGTGAAAGCAACAATCCCTCTTGCTGTTCTGGCTTCTGGGATAGCCGCGCAGCCTGCGTTCACTCCATAAGACACACACACATTTCCCCTTACTTTTCAGGAGGGAAAAAGTGAGTCTTATAGAGCAAAAATTACGGTATGTTGGAAGTTGCCCAGAGTGGCTGGAGCGACCTAGTCAAGTGGGCAGGGTATAAATAATACAGTTGTTGTTGTTGGATAGGACAACCCTATTTTCATCAAAGAAATGTTGGAGGGTATATACTAAGGAGTCACACACGCAGCAAAACAAACAAAACCTAAACTCAAAACCTTCAAATTGCTGTGGGGACTAGATGTCAAAACCACTCATGGCTCATCTGTAGCTGTCGAGAAATGTGAGCCACAGAAGATTGATCTGGCTTTCTGGTGACGCTGGGAGAGAGAAAGGAAACCACTTCAATTTGTACACAGAATGGGGATGCTGGCTAGTATTGACAGCACCCTTGTTTTACAATGGAAACGGGCACAGAGGGACTGATCTAAATTGCGGGTCTCGGGGGAGGGCAGGCAGGGGAGGGAAATCGATAGGATTCATTCTGCACACTCTGGTAGAGCAAACTGAACAAGTCCAATTTGGGGTGCGTGAGCCACATTTGACAGCAGGCAGTGCCTTTGGTGCTCAATCCTAAGAAGCCGGCTCTTTCTCTCTGCTCCAGAATTCCAGAGATAAAAGGGAAAGCGACATGTGTTTAACAGCGCTATTTATGATCCTATCATTGATTTCACTGTCGGAGGGTGCTTCCAGACGGATGTGTTTTTGTTCTTCTTTGTGGGATTGGTGCTGTTTATGCGTGCAAGTAATTGGAATCGAAATGCCAGCCTGTATCCCTTGCTCCCAATTTAATCTGGATTTATACTTTCTGGGGGGAATCCAATAAGTAAAAACAAAAAATGCCAGCAACTCACATGTGATATCTCAATGATACATTTGCAAATTAAGTCCCTGTCTGATAGCACCCTAAGTCTCCACAACCCCGCATAACACACATAGAAAACTGCCTTATGCCAGACCATCCAGTTCTGCATACTCTGACTGGCAACAGCTCCCCAGGGTCTCTGGCACAAGGTATTTCCACAACCCCGCATAACACACATAGAAAACTGCCTTATGCCAGACCATCCAGTTCTGCATACTCTGACTGGCAACAGCTCCCCAGGGTCTCTGGCACAAGGTATTTCCAATCACCAGGCATTGAACTTCGAGGGCATTCGGCATGCAAAACTTGTGCTCTACCACTAAGCCATGGTTCGCTGGTGTTTGCCGCCTGCAGTATTTATTTTGTCGAAGCATAGAATTGTAGGGTTGGAAGGGGGCCTGAGGGCCATCTAGTCCAACCCCCTGCAATGCAGGAAGCTTTTGCCCAACGTGGGGCTCAAACCCGCAACCCTGAGATTCAGAGTCTCATGCTCTACCCAATGAGCGGTGCCAGCTTGTTTGCTGCGGGGCATCATGTCCTGCCCTAAGTAAATAGCAGGTTCAATGCGCATTTAAAGCACATGGAATTGTGCGCATAATAAATCCAGAGAATCCACTGTCAGTGCTGGGGTGGGGAATCTGTGGCTCTGCAGATGTCCTTGGACTCCCAACAAACAGCATAAGCAGTGGTCAGGGCTGATGGGAGTTGTAGTCCAAAAACTTCTGGAGTGCCACAGTCTTCCCATCAACGTTCCCAGCACCTAGGGAAGACCTTATTAATAAATCAAGTAGGCATTTTAAGTTTGAATGCATAGTTTTAACTGATTTATAACTATTGTATTGCATCTTTGTAAAATGTGTTTCCATCCCTCAGCCCGGACACTTGAGGTCCAGCTCAGAGGGACTTCTGGCAGTTCCCTCATTGCGAGAAGCAAATTTACAGGGAACCAGGCAGAAGGCCTTCTCGGTGGTGGCACCCACCATGTGGAATGCCCTCCCATCAGATGTCAAGGAAATAAACAACTATCTGACTTTTAGAAGACATCTGAAGGCAGCCCTATATCAGGAAGTTTTTAATGTTTGATGTTTTGTTGTGTTTTAATATATACTGGAAGCTGCCCAGATTGACTGGGGCAGCCTAGTCAAATGGGTTGTTTAGATAAAAATAAATAAATCCGCTGCTGGTTCGAATCTGGAGGGCAGCTACTATGCAACATTATGAACAGTTTTCAACCATATTAACAAGCTCATGATTGGGCTGACCAATGGGCACAGTTTGCAGACATTTAGCCACCAGCTTATTACCCTCCTGTGGAAGTCCGAGGCATTTGGGGGTTACCCAGATCCTTTAAGTAGCACCTTCTCCAAGCACAGTTATTTATTTCACTTCCCTCCTGCCAACCTGCTTCCAGCTCCAAAAGTGAAAGGAAGTAAATGTACTCACCCCAGGTAAGGTTTTAATATTGTGCAGTGCATTCTGTGCTTCAAGCGCAGCTTTTCTTGTATAAAACGTTACGAAACAACAACCTACAGAGAGAAATTGGAAAGCTTTCAGATATTACCGGGAATGGATTGCTCAGCTACAATAGAAAAACAGAGAGAGCGATTCAGGGCTGGGGGTGTAGAGATGAATGAGAGAAATGAATATACGAAGGCTTGGAAAGGTGACTTCTAATGAGCCAACATGAATGGCATGAATCACAGGAACACTTTATTGTTTAAAAAGTCAGGGAGAGAAATATTAAAAACCACCCCCTTCTCACTTCACACAAGCTACCCACGAAGCACACCTACAGCTTCAGCAAACTCTTACTGCTCGGAAATCACGTTAACCAAAAGTTCAGTCACCATCGCGATGTAAACAGTGGGGTATGCTTGTTTTGTGGGCTGTTGCCACATGCCTCAAGTGCAGATTGGTTTTAAAATTTCCAACAGCCAAAGGTCAGTTTCTTCCTCCCTAAAAGCCATCAATGGATTCCTCTGGCAAGCTGAGCCACAGAAAACAAGTTCACTACATTTATCCCCAGTGAAGATCCTCACCCCTTACTGTTCAAGAAGGTGCCAAGAAGCTGAGAATTGGGACAAGTTTGCGAGCTCATCTGAAGCCTCATCTGCGATGGGGATACCCCTGGCTGAAGCCTGTGAGAACTGCTGCCAATCAATGTAGACAGTATTGAGACCAACAGTTTTTCTTGGTTTAAGGCAGGGGTAGGCAACCTAAATGAGACGCGTGGTGGTGCTGTGGGTTAAACCACAGAGCCTAGGGTTTGCCGATCAGAAGGTTGGCGGTTTGAATCCCCGCGACGGGGTGAGCTCCCGTTGCTCGGTCCCTGCTCCTGCCAACCTAGCAGTTCGAAAGCACATCAAAGTGCAAGTAGATAATTAGGTACCGCTCTGGCAGGAAGGTAAACGGTGTTTCCGTGCGCTGCTCTGGTTCGCCAGAAGCGGCTTAGTCATGCTGGCCACATGACCCGGAAGCTGTATGCCGGCTCCCTCGGCCAATAAAGCAAGATGAGTGCCGCAACCCCAGAGTCGGCCATGACTGGACCTAATGGTCAGGGGTCCCTTTACCTTTACCTTTTTTGGCAACCTAAGGCCTGTGGGATGGATGTGGCCCAATCGCCTTCTCAATCCGGCCCACAGATGGTCCAGGAATCAGCGTGTTTTTACATGTGTCCTTTTATTTAAAATGCATCTCTGGGTTATTTGTGGGGCATAGGAATTCATTCATCCCCCCCAAATATAGTCCAGCCCACCACATGGTCTGAGGGACAGAGGACTGGCCCACGGCTGAAAAGGTTGCTGACCCTTGGTTTAAGGCAATTTTCTATGTTCCTAATAGACAGTGGGGGAAGAATTGGTGCCCAGGGAAGGGTTAAATGTCCCCATGTTTGCCTGAAACACATCACAGATAACCCTCAGTTTTCCTTGTAACGTGTAGTCCCATCTTATGGGTATATGGGTGGTGTTGGGGTCTAAACCACTGAGCCTCTTGCGTTGGCGGTTTGAATCCCCACGACGGGGTGAACTCCTGAAAGCACGCCATTGCAAGTAGATAAATAGGTACCGCTGCAGCAGGAACGTAAATGGCATTTCCATGTGCTCTGGTTTCCATCACAGACAATGTTCCGTTGCACCAGAAGCAGTTTAGTAATGCTGGCCACATGACCTAGAAAGCTGTTTGTGAACAAACGCTGGCTCCCTTGGCCTGAAAGCGAGATGAGTGCCAAAACCCCATAGTCACCTTTGACTGGACTTAACCGTCCAGGGGTCCTTTATCTAGTCCCAATTTATCTCACAGCTACCTTTCCAACAGTAAGAGTTGTTCAACTCTGGAACAGACTCCCTTGAGAAGTGACAGACTCTCCTTCTTTGGAGGTTTTTAAGTACAGGTTGAATGGCCAGCCGCCATGTACACTCTAGTTGAGATTCCTGCATTGCAATGGGTTGGACTAGATGAACCTCAGGTCCCCTTCCAACGCTACAATTTTATGATTCTACCTTTCCTGTGGGCCCCAACTCAGCCATTGCCCCTCCCATGCTGGAACCGTTTTCCTCCTGCAATTTACCCAGGAAAGGTCTGCAATAAAGAAAGCAGCTACCGACTGCGTCTTCCTAATGCAAACAGCAACAGCCATGTTTCTGCCACTGTAATACACGCAAATGCATCATAGCGCCCTGGAAATGTGCTGAGCGCTGGCATTGCAGTTGTGCTGAACAGGGAACGTTGTCGGGGAGCTGTCAGGAGGAAGGCCTCTAAGTAACGGATGCAAACAGACTCACCCTTAAATTTCCACAGTTGACAAGAGAGACCATTTGGCAATTATTTCAGCCCTTTAAGAATCATTATCAGCATCAGTAAAGGGTCATTAAATCAGTCAAAGATTGTACCTTCTGAATGGAGGTTTGCTATCTCTCTCTCTCTCTCTCTGCCTCTTAAGAGCCTTCTCTTTCTCTCTCCGATATCAATCTTTCTCATTTTACACGAATGGCAAATTTATACTGATGGGTACATGTGAGAAGACTCTTGGCACCAGACTCTAAATCTTGTTTCTGAATGGTCAGATAACTACAGTCATACCTCGGGTTGAATATGCTTCATGTTGAGCGCATTCGAGTTGTGCTCCGCAGCAACCCGGAAGTAACGGAGCACGTTACTTCTGCTCAAAATGACATCACGCACATGCGTGGAAGCGGTAAAAAGCGGCGTGCGCATGCGCAGATGTGCCGTCGCTACTTATGTTTGCTTCTGGATGCGAACGGGGCTCCGGAACGGATCCCGTTCGCATCCTGAGGTACCACTGTATTTAACCAGAGCCTGGGGAGTGTCAGCTTCCTACATACCTGGGTGTGTATATACAGTGCTCTTTTTCTTGAAAAAAGAGCTGCTGGAACTCACCACAAACACCTCCTTTGTTCTCTTATAATGACAATGGCGCTCACCTGAGAGGTGCCGGAACTCCGTTTCAGCGAGTTCCGGCTGAAAAAAAGCCCTTTATATATATATATATATATATATACAGGCACATACCCTGTGCATGCAAACCTTTGTTTATGGTGTGCTTAAAGCAATGATAATGGGGCTCAGGAAACCCCTTTCAGCTAAGGGCCACATCCTCATTCTGGGTAATGTCATGTACTGAAGTTCTCCCCCTGGGCCAGCAGGGGGATACTGTAGATAGTTTTCACTCAGGTCCACATATGCAAATAAGGGATTGAAAGTGACGTTCAGTGATTGGGTAGTTACCAAAAATGGTTACTGTTGCGTTGTAGTGGAGCTCTATATAAGCAGGCTGGCTGAACCCTTCAGTTCAGTTCTGTTCTGGCCTGTGAATAAACAAGAGCTCTTTGAAGAATCGCTGTGTCGTCTGATATGTTAACCCACAATTTAACAGGCAAATTTCTGAGAGTACCTGTCCACCCTAAAGTACAATGTGTGAATGCAACAGGCCAAAGTTTGCAGAGGCAAGCTTGTGTTCCTCCTCCTCGCTTCTCATCCTTTAAAATTGACTCAATTTTGTTATGTATGCGGCATCCGCAGCCAGAATTTTAATTGCAACATATTGGAAAAATGAAATTACACCTACAAAATGAGAATGGCAAGTTAAACTGTTAGAATATCTGCAAATGGCAAAAATGACAGGGAGGGTAAGAGGGTATTCGACGCAAAAAGTAAACCAAGAATGGATTATATTCAAGGAATATCTGAAAAATTACTGTGACAGCAAAAACCTCCTGGCAGATCTTGAATGAGTCTTGCAATGTTTAGATAATATATGTAAATTTAATGTTTCTATTTAATCTCTCTTTTTTCTTTTTCTTTTCTCCGCCCCCCCCATGACTTAAGAAAATAATATAATAATATGATACTGTGTAAAATATAACCAGTGTAATTTAGTTTTTTTGAGAACAATCGGAAGCCTTTTTAGGTCTCTTTAAAATTTCTTGTATTTTTAATTTTTTTGCTGTATGGGATGAGATACAAATTGTAATATAGTATATTGTTATATAATTTTGTGAAATATGTTTAATAAAGATTGTTTAAAAAATAATAAATAAAATAAAATAAACTCAAGCGATACCACAAACCCAAGCAGATGCCCCAGTTCCATTTCCTAACCAAATCAACCACCACGACTATGATGGAAGGTTATACAAAACAGTATCTCGGAGAGTGGAAAATTCATAAATGAGCTATACTATAAATATGAATGGCTAAATATAGCTCATCTATTTTTAGGGATAGGCAAATGTCATTTTCAGATGTGTTTACTTGCAAGTCTGTTCTGTCCTGATTCCATAATAGTTTGCATTTCTTAAAAAAAAAAAAAAATCACTGGAAGGCAGGATTTAGCCATATATTTGAATACATGTTTTTTATAAATAATGTATTTTCTCTGAAACCACACTGTTCAAAACTATTTTCGATGCATTGTGAGCTTGGGGCTGTGTCAGAATATTCAGGCAGCAGAAAAACTAGGTGGATTCCTAAGATCTAGGCTGCACATTTATTCTAAGAGGTGCAGATGAGGTCAGCCTGTACTGTAACACACGAGATTCAATTCCTCTAGATCTCTGATAAATAAGCTGTACTTCACAAACACCCACACACATACATACACACTAGAGAGACGCCTTGGATAATGGGCACCTTAGTTTAATTAAACAGTGTTTCCCAACCTTGGGCCTCCAGCTGTTTTGAACTACAATTCCCATCATCCCTGACCACTGGTCTTGCTAGCTAGGGATGATGGGAGTTGTAGTCCAAAAAACAGCTGGAGCCCAAGTTGGGAAACACTGAATTAAACTATTAAAAGAAGCTTATCTGGGCTTCCTTTAAAAATAAAAAAAAGATGTCTGAACTGCACAGAAACCTGTTCACCTCAAGTCAGCCAGACTTGACACGGTGTTAAAAATGCACATGTAAAGCAGTTTTGAGTTTGGCGCAGTGGTTAGGTCCAAATTCCCACTCAGCCATGAAGCTGAGGACACTTGAGATCCAGTGCTGAGGGCCTTCTGGTGGTTCC